GGCAGGAGATGCCATCTCCGGAGCTGTGGGATGCAGGCTGGGAAGGTGCCTGGCCAAAGGGCTGCTCTTCTCTGGGGGGTGTCCCAGCAAGTCGCAGGTTTGTGTCGGAAATTAGGGATGCATTTCAGGCGGTGGATCTGGGGTGGGGCTCGAGGTTTGAAGTTTGGGTTTAAGAGCCATTGGTTAATAATTCTCTGCCTAAAAAGAGAGGTCCAGGTTCATCCTGGTGTGTTGCACTGTCCATGAATTCTTGCCGTGACTGTGGTTGACGTGCACTTTCAAGGTATCCTTGTGCAGCATTTAGCTTGCTCTTTGTGTTTTGCTTTGCAAAGTGCACAGCAGCAGTTTTTTGTAGTGATCTCTATAACAAAGTTTGAGATGAACATGGAATATATTGGCAGTAAATTTTATCCCCGTATTTTTAATGTACATTTGCAGATTATCTTTTATGACTAAGTCACCCCTGAATATTTTAGGGATGACCTACATGTGGTGCTGGAGGAAGGTGTAATATCCAAGCTTGGAGTGTTCAGCAGTGAAGTTAATTCTGGACAGAAATGGAGAGACTGATTCTGCTGCTTTTATGTTGAGCACTGACGTTGTCCCTGGAGTATTGTGGCTCCTCAGCGATCCCCAAGATGAACATGAGTATTGGTGCCCAGGCATGACAGCAATAAGACAAGAGCTGTTAGGTGTCATGTAACTGGAAGAATATCCACTCAAGTTTGTGAGTGTTGTGCTGGGTTTTATTTTAATAGCGTTTCTGTGTTCTTTGGCAGATCTCTAGGTAACTTTCTAACTTTGAAATTAAATACTGCATGTATTTTTGCATCAGAAAAGTGATTTCTATTTGACACCAAGGAGCTTCTTTTAAACAGTTTTCTTCCAGAACACTGCCTTGATGGTTATAGATTATTTTCATGAACATTCAGCCTGACCTTGTTGTGCTTTCTGAACATTATACCCATATGCTCATGTTTTTCGATTTTGAGTAAAGTAAGCAACACCTGTTTTATTTCTGTTGGCAGAAGGAAAGTCCACTCTCAGAAGGTCCAGTCTCAGAAAGAGAACAGCTTGTTTCCTGATGTTCATTGCTGCTGAAACACTTCTGTGAACATCAGTGTTAACATCTGTCTGGACGTGCATGTAGATTAGCCTGGAAACGTGATCTTTGTGATTGTTGACCCAGAATGTCCTTTTTTTTTTAAAATATGTATAACCAACTTGACACCTGCTGTGCTGGGCTTTCGCACTAGTTTGTGCTACAACAGAACAGCTTCATTTACTTTCAAGGGGCTGCCCTAAGTTTATGTTGATGTACCTTCACACAATTGCAGGCTACCTTTCTGATTTTTTTGTATTTTTTTTCTTTTTCTTTCATTGTGTCCAATGCACACTCCTTTTTTTTTTTCATTCTTTTTTTTCTTCCTTTTTCTTTTTTTGTGGTAATAGCCTCTCTGGAGTACCTCTCTACCACAATATTTCTGTCTGAGATTCCAGTCTATGGGTGTCTTTTTTCTCCTGTCTCTCTTGTTTTCTTCCTGGAGCATGCACAGGCAGGTAACTTCTCGGGTGCTTAGTCAGAGAAGCAGCTGACTGTTCCATCAGATTTTTCTTCGGGCATTGCCTTCCCAGATTGACCCTCATTTTTTGAGATAGCGTGCTTCTACTTTTCTAACCAGCCCTTTTTTATAAATGTAAAACTATCATCAAAGATCTGGTCCTTTTAGGTGTTTGCAGATGAGTAGAGATGGAAGTCATTTGGGAAGCAGCTCAGATCCATCCCATCACCTCCCCAGAAGTTCTTGCAGCCTGCAGTAGGGAGCTGCTCTCTTTGTGAGTAGAGTTTTTACAGCCACAGTCCAGTGCTTGTGTTTCTGTCCAACCATCCAACTGCGATACAGCTTCCAACACCCAGCTGGCCGCAGCTGAGCCACGGGGTCATTTTGTCAGGTCTTCTCCCTGAAGTCCTCCTGTAATGCTCTGTTGTCACTGCTTGTCACACCTGTGAGAGGTGCTTTGCTGCTTCTCTGGCTGCTCTCGCTGAGGCAGGTCAGCTTTTGGGTGCTCCATCCTCCATGGTGGTGTTGCCCTTGGATGGCTTTCTTTGCTTTGTTTGCTATGTGGCTTGGCAGAGACCCAACCCTCTTGCTTTCTCCATCTGCAGAACTCTAGTTCTGTTGTGTCAGGAAAGAAATCTTGGAAATCTGGCTGCTTTTGTTAGCAGTGAATGTCCACCCTTGAGGGTCTTATGAAAGTTGCAGTAGGTCACACAATGGCTGGTGTCTCTTTGACATGGGAAAATCTGAAGTGGAAAGGTAAATTAGGTGTTGTACATATTGATGTTTGTGCAGGTCTGGCACACCTTCAGACTTGCATAATGGATGATTTGAAGGGCCTGAAGCTTTCCTTCCTCTTACTTGAGCTTTGTGGATTAATGTGTGTGGACCCCCTGATTTTTTTTTTTCCCCCTTCTTGTGCTTGTATCTTCAGAATTGAAATATTTTAAGACATCCTTTTAGAGCTTTCAGCTCAATGAGCTTGGTTTCATTCTCCCAGGACTGTGAAGACATTTGAAGGCTCTTTTGTGTAAGAGGTTACTTTCTTTATTGTGCTGTTTTTTGATGCGCCATTCTAGAGATTCAGGATACCTTCACAGTAACTCTTCAGCTTGTTCCCTGATAGACAGATGATCTATTTGTTGCAGAATGTTTTCTTTCAGGTAACTGATATAACTGAGCCTGTGGGTTGGCTATTCCTCTAGCCTTTGTTTCTTTCTTTTTTCTTATTAAAAATACACAGTTTCTGGTTTTACTTACTACTTGAAACTCGCTAACTACCCTTGCCTCTCATGTCTTCATACAATAAAGGCTGAACATAAGAGCAGAAATACAACTCATTCTGCCTAGCCACAACCCATACATTGGACATCTGATCAAAACTGTCTGTCTAGGTCTCCCTGAGTCATCAGTGGTGAGAACAAGGAACCTATAGAAAAAGGTTTACTCAGCCTATTTTGGCTGCACCTCTAAGCATGGGATGCATATCAGTGCGAGGATGGTGCTTTGTTTCCCTTTTAGTGATCTATAAAGTTTTCTTGAGTAATTAGCTTTGGCTTTTAGACTTTTAAGAGTAGATTAATCCAGCCCTTGGCCTGGTTTTTCATCATCTTCGTTTTAGGTTGAGGAAAATGAGGTTATAAGAATTTCTCAAAATTATTAAAAATACGATATTGTTTTTATTCTCTTAAAATACTGCTCAGAGTTGATCTGAAAATGTTTTACAGTTACTGCTTAAAAAAAATCTGATCTCCTTAATGATCTATATTGAAATGTGTTTCCAAGTGACAGGGACACTTCACAGATAGATTTGTTATAGTTTTTACCATCTGCTTTAAAAACCGAGTGAGCAGAGTGTTTCAGAATGACCTTCAGCTCCATCCATGAAATGTGAGCTTGAATCTTCCAAGTGAACCATTGGCATTAGACCACTAAGGGCACTTATTCTGGAAATAGTGATTTACCAGTTGTTTGGATGCTCATGTTTTTGTTTGTATGTAAATATACTCATATACATTAATGTAGAGTTTCCACACAGCAGCAGCTTTAGACACAGCGGGACTTTGAGGTGTGGTGTGGTAGGCAGAGGTCTCATTGTTTGTCCTTGAACACTTTGTTGAAAAATATTGGATGAGTACTTCATGCTGTTGCTTTTTAGTTGAAAAGGAGTTAATAAAACTAACATGTTCTAGAAGAAACTGATTAAATCGGTGAACAGATAAAATGTTATTGTTTGAAATGTATAATGTTGCATAATGGATTTATATAAAGTGTGGCAGAGATAAAGTGCTTTCCAGACTTAATGAAAGAACATGGACTCCTGTTTCCATAACTGAAGTTCTTTTGTACTTATCTGTTTGGAAAAAATAGCAGGATTTTTTAACGGGTTTCCTTTCCATTAGGAAATATATTTATTTGTAGTGCTAGATACTCCGCCAAGTTTTAAAAAAATGTTGGAAGGAGGATACGTTTTCTTTCAAGGTAATTAAATGTCGTGGCTGTAGATTTTGCCTCCAGAGTGAGTGAAGTATACATGCATTTAAAAAGTTTTAATTGCTTGCATAGCTTACAAGAGTTGCAGGGGCAAAACATGCTCAATCCATGGGATAGGAGGAAAGGGTATAAATACATTTTGTTCCGCTTTTCTTTTTTGAAGTGTAATTAACTGTTATTAATAAGTTGTAAAAGTACTTGCCATTAGCGGTCTGAAAATGTTGCATAAGGTGTGCTCTTGCTGTTCCTCAAATCAAAGTTTTGAGGTTGAAGATCTCATTAATCTGTGGCTATACCCAGAGCACTGGCAGAGGGATGAACATCAGTCTGGATTCTGGGGCCAGTCCTGCTCCTCAAGGCACCACACAGAAATACAGGCGGCCTTGGAGCTCTGCTAAGTTCAGTCTGGTCCTCTGAATGCCACCAGAATATAAATAATAAAAACCAGTGTCACCTAATAATTCATCCCTGCTCTAAACTCTTGACCTCCCTGGCAAACTGAGAAGTTTTTGAAGATTTATTTTTCTTGGTACCCTGGTGCTGTGATCTGCAGCTTCATTTGTCTTGGGAGTTCAGCTCTGCATTTCTCTACAGGGCAGTTTAACTATTGTAAAAGGTTGTTAGCCTTCATCTGACAGCTCCTCTGAGAAGTAATATTAAAACCGTTAGGTAAATTGAAATACAGAGGTACCTGCCTGTGATTATCTCTGTCTCCCGAGGCACTCGTAATTGCTATTGACAGAACTGGGCTTCTTTAAAGGGAGCAGTGAATCTGCTGGGCTTTGATACGAGAGCTTTACTTTTCCTTAGAAATAAAAAGGAAAGCTTTCTCTGCTTATATTTGAAAGCATCTTTCTCTAATGTTGTTATCACAGGTTTCTTCTTGAAGGTAATGGACTACAGGGTTATTTCTTTTTCTTCCTCTTCCCCTGCCGCTGCATTACAGAAATGGCATCAGATATTCCGGGCTCGGTGGCCTTACCAGTGGCACCCATGGCAAGTGGGCAAGTGAGAATGGCAGGATCCATGTCTTCCAGAGGAGGAAAGCGCCGCTCTGGGTAAGCTGTTTCTTTTTTTTTTCAGGTCTGAGACTGGAAATGACTGGTATTGAAAAACTGGAAATGTACCTATATGTGTATGTTTATTGTGTAATGTTTATGTTTGCAAACTACATTATGGCATTAGTCACCGGAGTTTTGTTTTTCTCTTCAATATATCTGCTCTTCCTGCAAGATCAAACTTGCTGTTAAGTGTATTGTTTGTTGTTTTACATGCTTCAAAAGACTTTCAGGTTTGGCAAAGCATCCAGAAACAGAATTTGGATCCTGTGGCTGTGGTACATGTAATTAATATGTACTGCCTACGTCTGTTTAATCTCAAAAGGATTTATCATGTGAATAAAGGTAGCAAGATGTGTTCTTACTTGCCCATGCAGACTTATCCAACTTCATCTGAAGTTTGGACTTGGACTCTCTCAAATAGAAGCCTTCCGTTAAGAATGTTTTCTTTATAGTCCCAAGTACAGAAATAGCACAAGCAGTCAGTCTTCAGGGATTGTAATCTACAGTATTCTAGGTCTCACGGGAAATGCAGCATAGTCTCTCTGATTCTGGGAGAAAGGCCATGAATCATGTTCAGCCCTTGCACTAGCTTGAGGGCTCTGCTAAAGAAGAAAATTTGTTTTATCCAACTACAGAGGTTGGTGTGGTGTAGAGATGGTTTTTCCACATCAGATTGCCCTTTGGAAACTGATACTAATCCTCTGTGTTAGAAGAGAAATGTATCAAGAACTGCAGAAAGGCAGAAAGCTACTCTCTAGTATTAAGAAAAAATACCAGTTTTTATCAAAGGTTGATCACAAATAACAGTCTTTAGGTGATGCCTTCTCAGAGATTGATCCGAGAGTGCCTGCAAAAGAGAGTGATAAGTCTTACATTTAGCCCTAAATATGACAGTGGTCAAGCTTAACAGAATCGATAGTGTGAGTAAAATCCACTGGTGGGCACCTAAGGAAAAGATGATATTCTTTGTGAGAGCTACTCTGGGGATTGCTTGCCGAGGTATGTTGCCCATTTTAGGTGTCTGCTCAAGTAACAGTGCTGGAGTCTCATCCTGGAGTGAATTAAGAAGGGAGAAAGTGGACCTTGCCGTGGACGTGGAGTCAAGTTGGTATGATGTGAACTCTCAGGACGGTTGTTCTGAGGGGGGTGCCTTCAGAAAGGACAATTTGGAGATTTACCATCACTGAGTGTGCTTCCATATGCTGAGCTAACTCTATGAAATTGAGAAGCTCCTGGAATCTGTCTTTGACAGGCATCACAGTTTTATTTTGAAACGCTTCAAAGAAAAAACCTTTTCAAACTTGCACTCTACGGAGAAGACAAACCATTAACATTTTTTCATTGCTACATAATATAGATAAACTTTTGTACTTTTGAGTTGCGGGATAATTGATCTCTTTTTTTGATCATGAACTGTGTCAACTGAAAAAACAGTTTGCAAATTACTGTTACCAAGGGTTCATGCTGCTGACTGTGAAATCTTCTGATTATATTAAATACTGACTTGATGTTAATTGAAAGCTACGCTTTATCCATTGCATTTTAAGTGTCACAGTCTATTTGCAAGAAAGTGGAGTGAGGGGAGGTTGGGAGAAACATAAAATCAAATGATTTTAAATGTATTTAACATGCAAATTCAGTGACTAAGATAGTATAGATTTCTCTTATACCCAGGCGGTGGTATTTCTTCTGTGCACCATAGCTCTAAACCTAATAGCCTTTCTCCAAATCTGAGCTGAGAGTGCTCTTTTTTTGCTTTTTGTTCAGTGTGTACGTATTCAGACCTTGAGGGAAAGAATGCCTGCTGTGTCTAATTCCTCCTAGCTTCTCTTTGAACAAAGTTGCAACTAACACTTGGTCCTTTCATTACTGTCCTGGCGTTACATCTTTGTACACCTAAATCCTTGGGCATTTTAGAAATGAATGCTATGTGTCAAACATAAAGGAATGTAGCTAGTGAATGCAGTCATCTTTTCCAGCTTCGATTATCTCAGAATATTGTTTCTTTTCTCATAATTGCTGAGGCAAGCTGGCAGAATAATTGCTGCATGGACTTGAATGTAGATCAGTTTAAACTCATTGGTTACCCAGAAGGTGTTTCTGCTGTGTAGGCATTCAGCTTCATTGGCAGCTTGGAAAAATATTTTTCCTTTCTATAAATTATACCAAGTACTTTGTAGAAAAAAGTGACAGCATAAGATAATGCACTGCAGTGGTCAATGACTATCTTAGGTTAATGCAATGTCAGTTCTTTATTTAATGTGGTTTTTCTTTAGGCTTTGTTGTATTAAAGGACACGGGGCTTTTTCACCTTCCTAGGTTATCTGTACTTGGGGAGGGAGGGTTGGTGGGTTTTTTGATCGATTGGTTTGCAGTTGCATTGGTTTTGTTTCAGTTCAGCGTGTAGTCTTGTCTTTTCTCTGACCCAAAACTGTAAGATCTGGGGAGATACGAGGAGGAAGAGACCTCAGACCACCAGCTTCCCTCCGCAGTTGTACCCCCCGATATTGTGCCGAACAAAAGGCTGTAGTACAGATCCCCATCTGCCTCTCAGCTGCGTCTGCTCCTGATCATTCTTGCCTGTCCACTTCCTATGCTGTATAATCATGGCAAGCTATCTTTTGACACTTCTTGTGAATTTTACATAATAATTTTGTTTGAATGTTCAAATCCTCTCCCATCTCAATTTTTCAGCCTGTGCAGGACCACCTTCTTGGAGGGGTTTTCTTTATATGAAAATGTTTCTAATTAAAAAGAAATAATTAAAAAAATATTTTTTTCACAGTATTTATGGTACCTCCACATCTTTTGAGGAAAATATATTCTAAGAAGTACCTCATACATCAGGCCTTTTCATGATTGACATGAATACTATGAAAGAGGAAAACAAGATTTATGCTGTCTCTTCAAAACAAAAGGGCATAGTGCAGCTCTTTTTTTAAAGTCTCTTTTTAATGGGAATTTTAAATGAAGATAAAAGGAACACTTTCTGAAACTTCTGAAATTATGTCATTTGTCTTCTTGGAGGCTCCTTCCACTGTTTTGCTAATGTGCAATATATTCTATCTGAACAGAAGATCTTATCTGTCAGGGTATGAGGAGCTGTTTGGAATATTATTTTTATGTGTTCTGCTGTGTTCTGCTAACGGTTACAACTGATTTATCTTTCACTCTGCTTTGCTGTAAAGCAGAGACGGTGGTTCAGGCTGGACATTGGAATCAATGACTTTATACTTGAGATTTTTTTTTCAGGTTTTGAAAGGGTTTTTCCATTTTGCACAGTGAAATATCAAATTAGGAAATGTGTTTATTAACAAAGATGGGGCAGAGATACATTTGCTGTTGCATTTTTCCAAGTATTCACATTTTTAATTAACTTTATGTTCAGTTTCTTTTTAATAATCTTGCATTTGGAATAAAGTCAAGGTTTTTAGGTAGTTTAACAAAGCCAAGACATTCAAAGATTTAGTCTGCTACAGTCTGATATTGCACCCTAGGCACTCAGATGAGCCCACTGTAAATGTGGATGGATATTAACCCATCGAGATCTTATGAGAAGCTGATATGCAGCCATCTAGGTAAATAGGTGTGTTAGTCCCACTTATTCCTTTGGAAGTAGGTGTACAGCTTGGGCAGCAGGATCGTCTTAAACTGTCATCAGCTTCTCTGTAAGTCTCTGTAGATTATTCCAGTAATATAAACTAGACTAGTTGCAGCAGAGGTAATATTTGATTTTGCAGGGAAAATCCATCTCTTAGCACTCAGCTGGAGTATTTGGCTGGAAGCTAAGAAAATCTACCACAGCATGGGATCTCAGTGTATTGGAAGGGAAGGAAAGGAGTTACAAAAATTAATCCATCCCAAATTAAAGCAATGTCTTATTAAATTCCTGAAGAAAAGGCTTTTCCCCATGGGCATATGTATTTTCTGAAAAAGTTCCCAGTGACACCAGTGAAGGATGTGTCCGATGTGATGCTTTTGCGAGTGGTTTCAGATGGAGTCAGCCCAGTGCTGGCCTGAGCGTGCCCTCCTCTTGTAAGCAGACAGCTCTCCTGTAACACTGCCTTTCACCTTTTTGGTGTAGGTATAAACTTTGCAATTTAAATAACTGGGAAGTTTGTTCTGGAATGTCACCTACGGGGACGTTGCTATAGGTGGGGAAGAAGCAGGTGTGTGAGAGAAGGCTTTCGGCTATAGGATAGTGCATACATACATGTTCGATTGCTGGGAGTATTGTATATGCAGTAGGTCTGGGGAAGTTCACGCTGCTGGTGCCAGCGGTGATGGCCACATTTGGGGTGACAGGCTGGGTCCTGGCTGAGCCGCAGGCCTGAGGCCCCCGCGAGGGCGCTGGCCGCCGGAGGTCGGTGTTGTTCTGCGCAAGGCAGCCGAGAGGCGCCGACTTTGAAACCGGATTCGGTGATAATTAGGTGAGCAGAAATGTAATTTATAGTGAAAATGATGATTGGATCAAACTTAAGTTAAATACACATCTTTTCTTAAGACTCTTTGGGGAAAATTATTTTCCTTTTGCTTCCTCCAGAAATGAATAATCACTATTACCATCTGGAAAATATCATTGTGACTTTTCTAATACTGTTTCCAATTCCAGTGCTTGTTTGCTGCCCTTGTCCTGATTGTACGCAGATTGCTGTGACTCGGGAAGATCTTTCATAGACCAGTCTGTCTTGGTTATCAAAGTTAGGAAGCAAGGTGGTATTGCTGGACTAACATTGATACTTTTCTGTGCTGATGTAGTTTTAAAGAGCATTTTTACGTCATTGCTGTCATACTCTGAATATACAAATCTCAGTTTTTAACTGGTAGGGTTTCTTTTGATACTGAGATAAAGATGGTCACTTTGAAGGGTTTTTGCCTTTAATATGACTTATATCTGTTGTTAATATGAAAAGTGTTAGAGACAGGGAGTCTGTAATTGTATAAATTTTCTTACACTGAAATGTTAGAAAGCTTAGAGTGTTAAAGAAACCCGACAAAATTGTTTGCAAAACTAAACTATGATTTCCTATCTAGACAAATTAAATTTATGTGACTGATCAAGGTCTGTATATCATACTAATGTATTTTCCTATTCAAATAAATACATTAATACAATAATTGTATATGATCACTTTATATGAGCTTGGTTCTTAATCTGCATTAATGGCAGAGTCACCTCCTTATAATTGGTATATGTATTTGTCCACCTCTTTTTAGAACTATAAAAATGTATAAAATGCTTTGGAAATTATACTGTTGCATGACTTTGTAGTGACTTAATATCAATGGGAAGGAGACAGTCAGGCTGCCTAACATAGGAACCTAATTTAGGTGGGCAATTTAGGAAGCTAATCTTCCTAGTCTCTCTGTGTAAGAAATGAAGAAAGAGGTTCCTGCTTTTTATGGTTCCCTGGAGGAGTCTAATTGGAAGGCTGGGATTTGACCCAAGGAAGAGCTCGTCTCTTCCATTAACTTAAGAAGAAGGTGTGGAACATAAACCAGGTAAGTCAGGGGCGTGGAAGACCCACAGGTCATTTTAGTAGTGACCGGAGAATACCACAAAGTAGTTGCCATTGTCAGCCTGGCTGGTAATTTGTGTGGAATGGTTGGTAATGTAGGGCAAGTCTAAAGCATGTACCACTGTTGCCGTCAATAGTGGTGATGTAGGTAATCCTCTTAGCAGGGAGGCTGGGAGTTTATTCTGCTCTGTCTTTAATGTGCTTTGTTTAGACTGGGGCAAAAATAGTGGCCTGGTGTTTGTTATGTGTACAGCTTTAGAACTTTATTTTCTTTAGTCTTAATTTCAGTCCTCTAACATAGAGTCCCCACTGATTCTGTAAACTTCTACCAGGCCTAGGAGATATTACTTCTCACCATCTCCCAAGAACTGCATTTGTTTAATATTTCCTTTTATTTGTTAATTTTAACAGTGCTGATTTCTGTGGAGAAGAACAGTGATGTATTACTTAACTTTTTTTTTTTAAGCTTACATTCTCTGGGTTACTGGCAGCTGATGAGCTACTTTTAGGGGGTCTGGAGAATATGAGCAAGACTGGAATCTACAGTCGTTAACACCTCCAGTCAAAATAGAAATCAAACAGGGTTGAGAACCGCTGGCTTGAATGTTCATTGCCAACGTCATGATTACTGATTTGGAAAACTTGCTTTTACAGAATGGACTTCGATGATGAAGATGGGGAGGGACCCAGCAAATTTTCAAGGTGAGCATTTACAAAGAGTTGGCCAAATCACTGACTTCTTTCAGTGGAGAAAGACTGCTGTCTCGCTGCTGATGTTTTCAAGTCGATATGCATATGGCTGAAGAACTTGTCAACAGCTTGACCTAAATTGTAGTTACTGTTTCTATCGGCTTCCTCTGCAAATTAGGCACCCTGGCAGAAATCTGCCTAATGTAGTTATTGGTTTACAAAGCTGACTCTGTGTGTGTGTTGTAATTTTTCTCTGCAGCATGTCAAATGAGAAAATTTGTGATTTTTAGCTTATTATTTCAACTGCTGTAGATGAACTTCGGTTATTTGACATTGCTGAAGTTGTCTTTCTGCCACTGAAAATGAATTTCATTTTGAATTTATTTCAGATGTTAACTGCTTGTTAAGACAATATGACAGATCCTAGAGGTGTGGATTGTTATTTTTAAGATTAAAGCTCATTATGTACTATTAGGTGTAACTGAATAATAAGAATTGCCAAAATAAATGTTCATTAACATGGAATATTCTAGGCTAGAAATAAAACAAACATTAAAACATCATTGCCATTTTTTCACTTTTCCTTTTTTTCTGATCCCACTGTTTGCATTTTTTCGTTAGAAACCAAGAAGCTGCAGTGAGGGGTAGATACTTTGAGACCTACAGATAACTGCTGATTATCCAAATGGTAACTACACCTCTAGAGCAGCAGCCATGTTGAACCACAGCTGTTACCATAGGGTTTTAACAAGATCTTCCTAGTCAGTCGGAAAGATAAGTATGCTGAAGATGCATTGTAACACTGTGTCATAACGTACAGGACAAGATCAGCAGCCACCCCTGTTTAGGTGAAGTCGTTTACAGAAAGGATATTCCAGTCTGTGGTGTTAAAGCTGGTGATGTGAGGGCTAGTCCTAATGTTTGCTAGAAGATATGTGTTAAGGGAACAAAAGTGGTGATGAATGGGACCTGATTTGTGCCCGCATAAGTGTCAGGGTTTCTAGGCACAGTATTGCATGTGTGTTGGACTATCTCCATCCTGGCTTCAACCTTCAAAGTTTGGTGGTAGGGGAAAGCCAATAGTTCCATTATTTTTATTGGAGAAGTATGCTGTGCTGTGCTTAGACTCAGTTAATTTTAGATGTCAGATCAAAATCTGATATTTAAATCTTAAATGCTATAAAACACCCAGATTGTTCTGCTTTTAGAGAAAAACAGTGCAGAGATGCCCAGGGCCAAGTTCAGACATCCTTCCTCTAGTTGTGTGCTTCTTTTAGGACTTTTCCTTTCTCCAGATTGATCATGTGACTGATTCCTAGCTTGTCTCGGTCAAAATTATTTGGTTAGCAAAGAACTGCTGTTTAAATGTTTAAGCTAACCCAGCTGGCTTTGACTGAAGTGCCTGAAGAAGCATGCACACAGAGAGGTCAACTGAGAGACTGGAAGGGAGAAAAGAGTAGTTGGGGGCAACAGCACCTTCAGCCCAGCCAACCAGACAAGGATGAGTAGACAAGTCCCAAGGTAATAGGAGCACAGGAGATAGTGGTGTCAGTACGGTACTCCATGGAGTTAACACACCTTGCTTCTCAGGGACTTCCAAGCCAGTTCAGGTATCTCTGCATGGCATCTCATCGTCACACGGAGGTGTACGCATTTACTTCTCACGTAACGGCATGTTGCCATTCTTCATTGAATCTGTGTTTTTGTTTAAAATTTTTGGGGCTCAGTGTGTTCTCTGGGCAGGGTCAAGTGGAAGAAAGTGGCCTTTTCACTTGAGTGTTTCGAGGGTGCTGGTGTTAAACACAAGGTAGAAAGAAAGTCTCACTCAAACTTTCTCTTCCGAGTTTGAATGAGTCATACTGGGAAAGGAAAATATGAAGCCTCATGGAGGAACTTGCACAGATGGGGTACTTAAAATTAGTTTTAATTCGTTTGAGAAGAAAAAAAGGAAAAAGTTAGTTATTAGTTTTTTAGAAGAAAAAAGATGCTTAATTATGCTGTATTACCTTGTTAGCTAATACATGGAAGCTTCATGGATTCATAGGCTCTCTATTGTAGTAAGTGACATCATTTTGCAAAAGCAAATTCTAGTACAAAATATCTCTTGACTATTCTCGAGCAGTAATAATCTTAGATTCTAGAAAAGCCATTACCTTTATTTTTTTATTTTTGAAAACCTACATTTTCTGGTTTGGAACAACCATTTTGGTTTCTCCAAAAGTAAGATATTTTTCAAAAAATGTGGGGTTTTGTAACTGTTCCAGCAAAATCTAATTTCAAAGGATTAGTATGTTTTTAGGAAAGGGAAAGGAGGAGCAGCATCTAAGTTTTTAGTAAAAGGTCACGTTGCTGCTTGTCTCTGTGACAACGCTTGAGAAACAGTGGGGCAGAAGTTCCATTGATCAGGATTTCGTCCGTAAAGTTGCCACCAGTACACTGCACATACCTGTTTGGGCATCTAAGCTCTGTTGATTTGGGTAGGAATGAGGTACCTGTTTACTTCTAGGGATTTAAGCCAGTGTTAATTTCATTTCTATTTACCCAGCAGTTTCATCTGCCTGGCTGACTTTTGCCAGTCTTCCCAACAGACGGCACAGTGTCTTTGCCTCCTAGAGCTTCTTTCTGAAGGCGTCCTTATATATTGCATTGCACTTAAGCGTGTGTCTCTGCCCTCCCATGTTATCTGTAGACCATCAGTGCCCTCTGCTGAATGGAGTGAGTTGTGGTTGCAATCTGGAAAAGATACAGCTCTTTCACTTCCAACACAGCAATGAATATTTCATGGGCTGCTGTCGATAAAAGCTCAGTGGTGTTTCTGTAATGGTGCTGGTTGTTAAGTTTCCCAAGCAGTGAGTGTATGTCAAAGTGTTTGCATAAATCCACTGAATGTGTCTCCAACTTTTCTAGATATACAAATGAAGCTTTTAAATCGGCATGGCTTGGAAGTTTCATCAGACTCTGTTTTCTTTGCTTTATTGTTCTCATGCCCTCATTATTCTTGCTGTTATTTGTAGTAGTTTGCAGTTGTGAACCTCTTTGCTTTCTGCTGTGTTGACTATCGTGCAATGCATAACCTTTGTGAATTTACTTACTATCTTTTGTTTCTAGGTATGATGCTGATCAAATATCTGGTGATAAGGAAAAGTTTGCAAGGTAGGCGTGTTCTGTGGAGCTCTTCTGCTGAGAAGAAAGAGTGGGATGGTCGTGTCCAAAACATCTCAGTACGTGTGCCTTAGCTTAGAGAGCGGGTTATTTTGTTTCTAGGTGGGACAATGATCAAAGTACTGCTGACACAGAAAGGATGGCCAGGTAGGAAAAAGGAAAATAAAATATGGTTTGCCCCCATTTTTATTTTATATGATGCCATTCTGACTGATCAAAACTCAGGAGGGTTGGATGATCCAAAAATGCTTGAAATCAGAAATACTAACCATGGACCAAAGTGGGTTTGGATCAGCTCCCACAGTCTCCCAAAATTTAACATCCCTCCAAAATTTCCACTTGAAAACAAAGTTAGAAATGACAGAATTAGGGCATCATTCTGTATTCATGTTTATGAATGCTAGGGTTCCAAGGGCAGACACTTTTGTTAGAGGAGCACAGCCCCTCTTTTTGTTTTAAGGGTTTAAATTTGAACTAGTTTCAGGAAAGTTTCAGGGTTTTGTTTGCTTGAATGTTTTTGTGGCCAGTTGATTAACATACTATTACTTTTTAGCTTTTATGATCATAAATGAAATGGACTGTTGGATATTCTTCTCTTTCTTCTCAGGAAGTTTTGCAATTTCTTTGTTTACTCTTTATAGTGGTTGTTTTTAATGTTCAGGAGTATTAAAATACTTTAGTGGCAGACAATGGAATATGTATTCATAAATGTAAATTATATGTTAAATATGTGTGTTCTTTGTCTCTTTTCTTGATCACCATTTCTGTGAAAATGCTGAACTTAGAGCAAGATTTCATCATGTAAAAATTAATTTTTCTTCCTCTTGTCCATATCTGTCTGCATGTATATGCTGACACATACATGTCTGCTGTCACACATGTATACGATCCAGATCCTGCAGGCACTGTTCTCTCCTATGTCTTTTCAGACACATACAAAGGCTGTTTACAAACCATTTGAAATGGAAAGGTTTGCTATTATGGTGTGATAGATAGTTAAGTAGGTAGTGACTTTGACCAAGGGGCTGATTGTAATTTACTGAACGACCATGTGCAATCATCCTAGGGACCCATAGCTGGATTTCCTGAATATCAGATAGTAAACACAGGCAGCAGTAGGAATAGTAACTCTGCCTGTAGCCCTAACAAGTGGTATTTCTGGAGACAATGCCTCATGCGTGTAACACCTATATGTGCAGAGCAGCATACACATTGTGAAGCAGGGCAAGCCCATGGATTCATCTATTTTGGGAAGCAGCATGCTACAACTTGGGTTCTTTCCTACATTTTTAAGAAAAGGCTCCATTATTAAAAGTAACCAAAAAGCATGCCAAGCCTAGCTTCTGCTTTCACGATCACTCTTCATAACAGTCAGCCCCAAAGAATGTTGCAGTTTCTTTTGATGTTGTGTTATTGAGCTGGTCAATGCTGGTGGACTCTCCAAGTGATCACCCTTCACATCTTCTTGGATCAGCCAGTGATCCCACAACAAAAGCCATGCACAGCTCATTGAAATCAATGGAAGATGCTGCTTTGACATCTGAAGCATCATGTACCTGTCGAGTACTTGTATTTATCTGCCACCTGACAGGTACAGTATGGGAAAAATAAGTAGGCACTGAAGTATTTTAGGTCCATTTGGACCATCTCAGATGTATATATTGGTGTAATTCCTTAACAGTGATTAAGCAATGGTGATTTACAGTGCGTGGAAACTAAACTCGTAGATCTTCAGTTCTGAAAGATTTTGGTGACTGTCCATTTTGAGAATTCTGAAATTTGACTCACCACCTCGGTCATATGTTTCCTATAAAGGATGAGAACATTGGAGCTCAGCCCAAAGTGTGGCAGCATCAAGTCCTGTCATTGTTCTTTCCTTGCTGTGCTAGATTGTTCTCAAACATAAATTCAAATCTATGTCTGACAAGCCAGATATTTACTTGCTGTCTTTCGTACTCATTTTATTTATTTACTGGGTTTTTTGTGTGTACTGTTATACCATACATGGTCCCAGTCCTGCAGTCTGAGCCTGTAGGCATGTAGTGTCCCCCTACAGGGATGCGGGACTTTCCACACAGCACTACGGGACTGGAGGTCTGTGCTGTCATTGGGTGGGTTTTTTTGTAACCCAGCACTGATACTTACTGCTGACCTGATCCAGCTGTTAGCGAGAGGTTTCCTCTAAAGGGACCTTTTATAAGCAGATTTAATGCCTTGAGCGAGGACTGGAAGCTGAGAGATGCGTGACAGCTCTGCAAATTTGGGAGTTTGGCTCAAGTTGGCAGTTGTCAGTTCCTCACATCTTTCTACTTCGTTTTTTGTCCTTAAACTGAAGGAGGTTAAACTGGTTAAGAGATTAAGGCCAGAAGCCAGTAGCTAGAAACATGGGTTCTTTTCACAGCTAGGGACGAATCATATTTATGCTTCTGTGGCCTGGATTTTGGGTTTATAAACTGAGGGATAATAGTACTTAGCTTTGTAGAGCAGTTTTCTCTCCTGGGTGCGAAGTATTATGATTCGTTACATCCAGTTGAGATACTTACGCTGTTCATGTCTGCTTTTCTGTTGGTCTTTCTTTAAATGTTCAGGGAGAATCATAGTGAAATTGAGAGACGCAGGAGAAATAAGATGACACAGTACATCACCGAACTGTCTGATATGGTACCCACTTGTAGCGCTTTGGCTCGTAAGCCTGACAAGCTGACAATTCTTCGGATGGCTGTTTCACACATGAAATCAATGAGGGGCACTGGAAACAAATCTACCGATGGAGCTTACAAGCCTTCGTTTCTTACGGAACAGGTAGATTTTTCACAGATGTCTGTTTTCTCTGGTTTATGGTCTTAAATGATGTGAGGAAATGCTGAGAGGAGTGGAGTCTTAGCTTGGAGAGGAGTAGAGTCTCAGCTTGATCCTTTGCTGTTGTGTAGTAACTGGTACAAGCTACATATCCAAGACATGAACATGGACAAATTTTTGTGACTGCTTGGACTTGATCTTAACTGTATGACAGATGTCTCTCTGTGAAGCAGCAAAATGGGTATTCTTGTCATTGAGGTCTGTCCATCTGAAAAGCAAGTCACTTACGGCCTCTCATCATTGGGAAGGAATTTTCACCTCCAGAACTGGGTTCTTCCCATCCTAACAAAGATTCTCAAAAATAGGTAAAGATGAATCTGGAAAGACCTGCCTATCCCTCCGGGGTTTAGAGGAAGGTTAAAAACATTGTTTAGTCTCAATGCCTAAGTTCCTGGCAGCTGAACTGGGCAGAGATGAATCCCATCTGTACTGGCTGAGGTGCTCTCGTTATGTTTTGGATGGAACAAGGAAGATGCACCCAGTGCTCGAAGCAACACCGTGTTTAACTGAGTGCACTAGAAGTTCCTACCACCTTCATTGTTTTTGAAGTCCTATGGGTGTATTGTGCATTTTTGTGGTCTGAACAATTTAAGCACTTACACATGTAAGTTATGGCTAGAGGCAATACTTCTTGCTGTTAGAGAAACAGCAGCTGCTGCTGACCTCTCAGTGTTCATACTTCTACTTATTCTGGCTGTCCTGAAGTGTGGTTCTGGAGTGACTGTGCCATTCCGCTCGTTGTTGGTAGAGCACCCAAGTCACTTCTCATTGCAACTTTTTGGGGTTTTTTTTGAACCTTGCAGAATGACAGAGTTCATCTTCATCTTTGTTAATAATGGGTGCAAAACTGGTCTCGTTATCCTCTGCAGCCAGCTATGCAGTGAGGTTTTTTATCTAGTTAGTGGTTCGGAATTGGTGTTCTTTCTCTACAATAAAGCCACAGAAGTTGACAGTCTGTTAAGTGTTTCTTGATTTGAGTTATCCATTTCTTTAGCAGAATATGTCAGATTGTGATCCTCACCTTATGAGCTAATTGCACAGCAGCTGTGCTGAGCTGTCTGACGTGGAATGGGACTCAGATTGTCCAGAACTGCATCTGGAGCTCAGAGAGCATCTTAGCAAGTACTGGTGGTCACTGGAGCCACCAAGCAAAGGCTGTTTGAGCTTGTTTCCCAGGAATTAAAGCAGTAGTTGTTGTCCTTTCCCGTGAGAGGTTTTCAAGCTCTGCTAAGCGAAGGTAGGGTTTTTGTGTGATGCGTGCAAACAGCTGTTTGCGCAGGCGGTTCAAGGAGTCTGAAAGTGAGGGACAGAAGCACCTTGCTTTAAAGGCCTACGGTCCCCCTTCCAGTCCCCAGGTGGGGCTGGGGCTCTGGATGCTGCATCTCAGGTGGGTGTGTGGGTATCTCAGGACAAAGTATCCAGGATGATGAGCAGGGAACCATGTAAAGAAAAAGCCAAAGGCAGGGGTGTTCCAAGCTCTTTGGATCTCTGAGGCTTCGTATTCACAGACTGGAAAAAGAAAGCAAGAAGTGATATAACCTTCTTGTGTAATGGCTCAGGCCCCCTGATGGGAGAGAAGGCTGCAGATTCCTGTCCTTGTTCCCATTACACTTTCTGCCTTTTATCCAGTGACTGTTTAATTTACAAACAGAGCTTATCCTGAGGGGAGAAAAAAAAAACCCAAAACAGAAAGACTTGTTGGTTTCTTTCCAATTAAATTATTCAAGACATTTAATTAAGGGATGAGTTGGTCATATGAGTTATAGCTGTTCATTTCCTCTGTTTGTACTCCGAAATAACTTTTTATTTTTTTAATGTTAGATGCCTATCACACAATATGCAGTGAGTTTTAGTTACTTAATTTTCCTAAAGTGCATTGAGATGATGAGATGAAAGGCAATAAAGGAAAACAAGATGATGTTTATTATTGAGATCAGCAATTTGTGACTTGCTGCCTTTGTTTGTGTTCTTATACCAATACTACAGTGAAAATTTCTGCCTAGGTTATGATCAGCTACTAAGATCACAAGAAAACAATATTCTTTGGCAGTGACAAATGTGTTATTTAATTCCCTTTTCTTGATGGCATTCTAATCAAATCCTTTCTTTGGAAGGAACTGAAACATCTTATCCTGGAGGCTGCAGATGGGTTCCTGTTTGTAGTTGCAGCTGAGACGGGAAGAGTGATCTACGTATCGGATTCTGTGACGCCTGTGCTGAACCAGCCACAGTCTGAATGGTTTGGCAGCACTTTGTATGAGCAGGTTCATCCAGACGACGTGGAGAAACTGCGAGAGCAACTATGTACATCTGAAAACTCTATGACAGGTCAGATATGTCTGATGTACAGTTCTGTGTGTTTATGGATCCCTGCAGAGTTTTTCTGACGTTCAAAATGCCTGGTTTAAAAATCCAGTAAAAAAGAAATTCAGCAAGATTAAAATGCCTTTTTCTTGCAGGCAGTCCAGTAAATCTTGTTTTGCATGACTACGTTTTGCTCCTATTTGTTTGACTTCAGTTAAACCACCTTCATGTAGTTCTGCATTCAAACTTCTGGCTTGGGTAGGTTTGGAATCTGGATTGTTTTCAGGCTTGGTCTGGAAATCTAGATTGTTTTCCTTTCATCCTCAATGAACTTGTGACTTCTTTACAAATATGTGTTTCTTTAGGGCAGTGTTTATTTTGAAGGCAAAAATCATGCTTTAGACTTTTCCATTTTCATAAAAGTTCCTTGTGGTTTGTTAACGGGAATCCTGGGGAAAAAGTCCAGTGTTTGGCAGATGAAAATCCAGTGGATTTTCAATGGGAGGCTTGCTCCTGTGGCAGTGGTGTAAATTAGCTGTGAGTTGTCTGCCTGTCATTTTGCACATAAAACTAAACCATATTCATATCTTCAGTATAACTCTGGCTTTTACAGTTATTTATGCTCAAGACTGTCAATAGGAGACTACTCTTGTCTTTAATAGATTACATATATGTTAGAGCTCTGAGAACTAGCTAGATCCTATTTTTAACTTGAACTTGGAAAGGAGGAAACCCAACTTCTCTTTTTGTTCTTCCACACAGTATGTTTATAGCTAAAGGAAAAGAATCTAGGGGAAAATATTTACAACAAAATCCTCTTCCATGCAAAAGTCACATAATTTCTCCTTGCTTTAGTAATTCAGAATTCTGACCTGGTTTGCTGGAAGTTTTGTTGTGTTTCATAACTCAAAGGACAGTGGTCCAGTTTTGAGTGAACCTGCACACTGTTTACAGCTTCCATGTCAAAGCAGTGCCAAATTCATGATTTCCTGTGGTTTGAGTGTGATGTGGTTTTGGCAGAGCTTTCGTGTATTCAAATTGGAAACTCAAAGCAAAATTCTGTGGTGAAAATCCAGATGGATCAAAACCAAGTGAACAGTTAGGGGAACCTGTGCAGAACAAAACAGCTGAGTGTCATACCACGAGACTTGCAAAAGAGCACAACCTCTGTTTTTATTATGTAGCATGTTATACCTTTTAATGTACGTACCATCTTCCTCCAAGAAGCAATTGCTTCAGAACCTCAGTGAACAGTCATACTTGGGCTTCCAAAAGTGCTCAGTTATGGGGCTTAACCTGCTCAAACTAGAGCAGGACAAGACAAACGCAGAGCACTTCTGAAAACCCAACTCTGTATTTTTTCCAGTTTTAAGTATGTGCTTTTCTTCTGCAGTGAATTCATCTGTAGCCAGTAGAGAGAGAAGTTCAAATAATGGTATTTATAGGGCTAAATCTTTTCCCTGCCTGAGTCTTTTGGGGTTGTCGGATTGACACAGAAGGCTCGTAAATCTGCTGACAACTGAACATTTTCCTAGGGTGAGGAAAGCATCAGCCTGTTTAGAGCCAGGGTAGCCTGCTTAGCAACACTCCTTAGGGTGCAGAGGGAGGCTGGATGGAGAAGGGTGCTTTTTAGGGACTAGAGAGTGTGTGTAGTTAAAACTGTTCCAAGCAAGTAGGAACAGTGCATAATTGGTCGTAGTGATATGGGGCACATTGTGCGTGTTTTCCTTTACAAAGTTATTGTGGTTACATGTACAGTGCAATTTTTTTGCCCAGCTGAACTTCTCACAAGCCATAAACACAATCATCAGTCTGCTTCTGAATCAAGCACAGACATATAGTTGTATGTACATCATGTCTCATAAGTTCATCACAGAACAGATTTTTAAGGTGTCTGCTGCATTTTTCTAACTTTTTAACAAAATTAGTGTAAAGTAGGTGACATCATGATATAGTCCTGCTTTTGGGGTAGTTTTGTTTTAAGTATGTGATTGGTGAAGTACATTTAGTTAGTAGTTTTGTCAGTCTGAGGAGCATATAGATAAACAGAAGGCTCTAGATTTGCTATATTAAACTTGCATTTTCTTGGTCCTGTAAGGTACCGTTAAATAAGAGAAGCAGTCTTTTATACGGACTATCAGTCCAACATCAGTTTGCAGCAGGACTTCAGCAGCATCACTCTCACTCTTTTGAGATACCTTTCTGGGACCAAGGTGATTCTAGAGTTGGTTCAACCAGTTACACTTTCCTTCCTGTAACACAAGCTGTATTGAGAGTAGCAGCTTTGTGACAGGTAGGAATAAAATGAAATATTGCAATGAACAGAAATAATTGGTGCCTTAGTGAGATTTTAAAAGAAGTCAAATAGACAAATGCATTTCCTTTGAGTCAGTGTTTATCAAACCATTTGGGCAGCCCTCAGGTCTCTCTTGGCTTTCTAGAGTTACATTTCGCGCAGAACAAAGGACAGTGAAGAGCTTGAAAGAGATGCAAACTGCAAGCCAACCAGCTGCATTTGACATTTTTCCTGCTCAAAGTGAAGGCAGCAGGAAAATCCTTATCTTTTAGTGACCTCTGGTTGTTGAGCACAGGATCTGGTTAGGAAAAAGAAGAGATTTGAAGTTGAAAGTATAATGAAATATTACAATTTTAAATTTTGCTCTCTTCCTCATCTTCTCAGGGACCATTTTCCCATCCCTATAACCTTCCCCTTCAACCTTTGAACTGGGGAAGCAGTGACAGCATCTTGACAAAGGAGAAACTTCACCTGCCTTGCATCAGACTAGAGCAACGTCCTTTGGTTGTATTTACTTGTGCTGTTACAAGTGCTGATGGTTAGCATTGCTTTGCTGGGATTTTCCCAGCACCTCTTAATGATCCTGCTACCCAGAGAAGCTGCTCCAGACCCCGAGGACTTGGGAGGCTGCCACAGCCAAAGGGGAGTGACAGAGAACAAGTCGGTGGAGAAAGCAGGCTCCCTCTCGCATTTCTGCCCCCAGGAATAAGATTCAGACTGGAGCTGTGGTTGCATGAGCGTTTCTTTGGCAGTCACTCGAGGTTATGCAATCCTCACCTCAGCTCACCCTCTCCTCCTTTGGCATTTATGTGGTACTACAATGAGTCACATCAAGGAGGCTGACCCAGCCGAAAGCTAAGCTAAGCAAAAAACCACTTGGTTTGGTAGAGAGAGCTCTTTGGCCCATCTTATCATAGGGTTGCTTGAACTCTTTGTGGTAGCACCAAGGAGAAACAGAGAGTGAATAGTAAAGGATAAGGAGAGGACAGGACTTCAGGAGCAGTAAAAGCATTATGCCAAATTGAAGTGGCTGTTTAAGGATGGCATCAGCCATGTAGTGTGTTTGGGAAGTTAATTGCTTGCTCTATTTTTAACTCTCAGGATATGGGAAAGGATGGATAGTTCCTATTCCATTTTATATCCTTGGAGATTTTATTCCCTGGAAATGGAACAATTGTCTGCTTGTTTATTGCACATTAATTGCTAACACATTGGAGCAACAGGAAAGCTGAACTGTGGAGTGTATGTATGGTTTGAAATGCTCTAGAAAAGACAGCAGCTGAGACTTGATGATAGCAACAAATAGTGCTCCCGAGAAGTCTTTATATGCGTCATGGGCACGATTAATCATAACGGGGCAGATATTCAGAGTAATAATTTATTTTCCCTCTTTGTGCTTGGAAATCTGTAGAAGGGAAAACAAATCACTTCAAATATGGATGATCAGATCCCCCAGTAGGATCCATTAGCAAACACCACTTTGCCCTTAGGATGCACTGGTGAAACTTGATGGATGTTGGGTTTCAGGTGCAGGTTCAGGGTTGGAAGTTGTGAGGGGCTGAATAACACACAGCGTGGTGGAATCCTAATGCAAGCGAGAGCCTCTGAACAGCTGCAGACAACAAATCTGTGATGGCGCAGAGAACAGATAGAACTTAAGTGCAAAAAAAAAAACCCCACTTTTGAAGAATACTTCTGCTACACTTACTCTCCAAAAAATGACTGAGCAAGTATTGCAGTAAACTGTCCTTCTGTTAAAATATAGTGTTCCAGAATACTGCCAGACTGATTTCTACCAATCTAATTCTCCATAAGCACTTAATGAGAGAGGAGAATGAGGAATATAGATACCTCCGTGCAGTTGCCTGGAAGATCTCCAAGTGATTCCATGATGTGTCTTAGATGTGCTTCTTAAGGCTGTGAGGTCCCTGTTCCTGCAGCCAGCGTCACCAGTGTTGCAAATGGGAAATGCCCAAGTTTATTATGTCCAATTCTGAGCTCCAAACAGAGCCTCACTCCAGCCTCCCTCCCTATAGCTAAGGTGAGGCAGGGAGCAGCATATGGAGCCCCATCTGTGGCACAAAGCCTCCGTGGGATGTTCAGGTTCAGAAAGAGTCCGTGCAGACTCTTTCAGCTGAGTAGTTAAGGGATGCTGAAACTGGACCTGTGACTGCAAGAAAATGTTGAGAACCAGAAACTCTACAGCTTTCATTTCCAAGGGATTTAAAAATGACTAGGTCAATTTACTTGCTAGCTGAAAGAGATTAATTGAGGTTACTTCTGGACAGAACTTGTATGCCAACTTTAATCTTGGCATGATATTTTATTGACATATTTTATAAGGACAAAAAAAAGTCGAACTTTATGATGGAAATTATGACTGACCACAGCAGAAGTTGAGCTGATAGGTACCTTTTTAGAAGAAAAGACCATTGTGTGACAAGTCACTATGGATCATGAATATTATGGAAACATCACTCCATGTTACACAAGCAGAGATTTGGATCGGGGAACCCGTCTCATGGAACCTTCAAATAATATGTTGTCTTGCAATGGTGGTTTCAGCATATGTGGTTTTCTGTCCAACTGCAAAGCTTTCTGTTACCAGTCAAAGTTTGCAGACACAGCCACAAAATCCAGATGCTGTAGATAGAGACAAATTGTCTGTAAAAATGAGAAAAATAGTGTTAAGCTCAGAAGAGGGCAGCGCCAGAGAGCAGCGGAGAAA